TATCGCAATTCCTCCTCCTCGTCCAATCGGCCATGTAAGAAAGAATGATTTATACCCCGGTATCCGGAACTCACCACCTCACCACAGAAATCGTCTTTAACATTGATCTCTTTTAGCACAAAAACATCAAACAGTGGTGACATATTGTTTACAGTTATTACAAACTGGTCCCAATATTTACGAATACTTCGAATATTTAGATGTAAGAACCCAAGAGTACTATCACTAGCTGGTTCCGAGAAACATTGAAATGAAGAAAAATCTGAACATTGACGAAACTGTACTTCCATTAATCGACGCAGTTGTTATCCACCGGTATTTTTAAGCCGTTTAGCAACAAAACGAGTTGCACAATCAATTCCAGGCCGGCCAATGGATGCGAACCAGTGACGAGGTTCCTGACTTTTTTGCAAAAAGCTTCCCATTTCTCACCCAAGTGAATTGGTACTGCTTGATTATTGCTTTCTCCCGTACCATCCAAAAGAGGTCCCTGTTCTTTCGCGTTAGGTTCTTGTTGAGGAAGAGTTTGTGCAACGAACCCTCGGCTGCCAGAGTCCTCAGCTTACCTCGCGTGGCGAGCCATTGTTCTCTTAGCGACACTGAAGCCAATTTAACCAAGATAACTGGAGGGCCGTCGCGCCGAGATGGCAGACGATGCACCGCCAGTATGTCCCTTGGCTGAAAGTTTTCCAGGCCTAGCTTGCCAGCCAACTCGCCCACAATGGAGACTAAGTTTTCACTTGGGGCATGAGGGAGTCCATGTATCTCAGGGCTTGAGAGACGACTGTACTGTTCAGTATCGTTCAGCTCTTCTTTCAGGTGCTCGATGCTCTGAGACTGCTCTGTTACCACGCTTCTTAGCAAAGTCGTTTCCTCACGGAGCTCTGTTATCGCGGTTGAGTTGGTAGTGGCTGTAGACAGCAGAGAGTCGTATCGAGCCGACAGAAAGTCTACGGCCTTCTGAACCTCCGTTACTGCGGATTTCAGGCTCTCGACTACCGGCTTCAATGTCAGGAGTTGATCCATCTGAGTTGGTAAGTCGAGGAGGGTGTCAACATTGGCCTTCAGCAAGGTGAGACACTCCAGTTTAGCTTCAAGCGACCGAAGATGTTCCGTACCAGCAGGAGACGCGCATTGTGACGAGCTGGCTTCACTTCGAGACTCATTCCCGCTATGTCGCTGTCGGCACACACGGCAGCGCCAGACCTCTCGTTTTCCAACAGCCATGGCATTGAATGTGTTTTCCGCAACACCGGAGCAAAGCTTCCCCAGATGATACGATGTTCTGCACTCGGCGCAGGACATGTGCCTACCATCGTTAACAATCTTCTCGTGGCACTGAGCGCACTTGAGTGGAGAAGACATAGCACACACGCAGAAGGGAAAGATGTGAAGTGCTGTACTCCCGTGTCACGTGCGTCGCCTTGATGTGTTGGGCAGGCTTGCGCGAGATGCTTTGCTCACCTTGGAGATCGTCGTGCCAGGCAAGCTCCCGCACAACGGGCGTTTTAGGAGCCGAGCCGGGTGAAGACGCAAAGTCACTTAGCCTACCCGGTGGAATGCTGTCAGTGAAGACGTTGGGGACCCGATCTTGAGCAAAGTCGGTGCCCACCACGACGCAGAGGAATCGTCCGAGTCACAAAAAGCTCGTTGGCGTCGGATGTTCCGATTGAAAGCGATTACGAGAGAAAACTCGCAGAGCAGTAAAAAGGAGCGACGGTTCCTGGGGACTTCTTGATGATGATGATAATAATAATAATAATAATGATAATGATAATAATAATAATAATAAATCTTTATTTTCTGTGTCCATGAACAACTTATAAGTCTCCACTGTGGTGCACAAAATACTAGAATACAAATACCGACAAAACTAAAATACTCAATACAAATACCACAAAAAAATCTCATTCTAGGCGAAAGACATCCATTCACGAACACGCCAAATAAATTCCCGAAGACAGTCTAGATTCATGCTTCTTAACTTTCGCCCGTAGCAGACGACACACGGTGGTATCCCCGCTTTCGCATGTTCCGCCTTTCAGCCGCACGGTGGCGACACGGTTCAATCTCCAGGCGAGTAAACGCGCTAAGCAGTCGCCTCCGTGCGAAATTCGTCGGTTTATCGCAGCGTATTGACACCGCGACATCGGTGTCCCAAACAAACCATTGCTAGGGTAACATTTACCCAAGCACCAAGGAGACTGCTGGGAATGTATGCACGAGCAATCTACGAGCTCGCGTTGTCTGCATGAAATATTAAAAAAAAAAAAAAAACTAAAATAAGATTTAGACGTACGTACGTGCTGGTCGAAATTTGTTTCAAAAATTTGCTTTTAACAAGTTACCGCGGTAGACGCGACAACGCGCAGTTTATGTACATTCAAACCCAGCATGCTTTTGGGTGCTTGGCTATATTAGCAAAGGCCTACAGGATTTTGCTGCGAAGGAACATTCGTTCAAAGATGAAATGTTGGATTTAAACGTCTGGAAAGATAGAACAATTGTATGGCATGCTAATCTTGACAGAAGTTTTCTGGAGAATCGTCTGTGTCTGAAATACTTGCGAACGCAACTTAGGTCATCTGATCCTCTCGAGATTCAGCTCACGACTGGCGCAAGTGGTATGTCACAAAGGGCCGTCTGCACCAGGTTTAATCGTTTGCCACATGATGATACAATTTTCGTCTCCTATTGACTGAGAACACGTCAGTGTTGGGAAAGCTAATTAGGCTTTTAAATACAAATTGTATTAACGTGCGATACCGTATACTGTCTGACGAAAATCATCACACGTAGGCATTACCAGCTAAAAATATGCCGTTGCATTGTGTAGAAATGCGCCTGCTTTTCATCCTGCAGACTCACCTGCATCGCGATGGAGGCTGAGGGGCAACTTTTAGTGGTCTATACTCCGTTTCACCTGAATTGCGAGCGCAGGAGACGCTACGAGAAGACGGGGCCAATCAAGCAGCAGCAAAAGCGCAATGACACTGTGCATTTTCTGCACCTGATTGGATCACCTTGCGATGTACTTCGTGACGTTGCACCCCTGTCGCAGCTTGATTTTCCCTCTCGTCTCGTAGCGCCTGATGCGCTCGGACTTAAGGTGATAGTTTCGATAGCCTAAATTATGTTCGCAAGCTCACGATAGATCAGTGTGTTACCCGCTTGTAGACGTCGCAATGAGAAGTACTCTTTTTTTCTAGTTTGCATTGAGACCACAAATGGTGAAAAAACTGGGTGAAAACATCAAGCAAATTTATTTCTCTCAGTGATGAACCCTTGTTTCAAAGCACTGTGTTGCCTTAGTACCTTGCAATGCATGCTGGCGTGACGCTGATAGGGATCAAGTTGCCACTGTGACTTGTTATACGTGATTCGGTCCCACTATGTTTTCGATTTTCTCCGATATTGCAAAGCCTCTTTGTGTAGGTAAGCATGTCCGCGAGGACCTTTGGCATCGATGAAAGCTGTGCTTGCGTCCTCCTCGCTTCTGAAATGCCATAAAGTGTTGTCTCCGGAAATAGTAGTCTCGTCCCTTCTGCACCAACGTAATTCAACGCAGTCGCGTGCTTCGTCAGAGATGACCGCTAGCCCGCAAATGAATTGTGTCGTCTACTACAAAATCAGAACCAGGTATAATGATTGATTGCTAGCTTTAATTATCATAATATGGCATTGCGACAGTACAGACAGTCTTTATGACTACATATTGACAGTCGGGATGCTTATATAAAATGTTTCTCTTTTTTTCAAAAATAAAAAAAGAACGTTTAACCTTGCCTTGAGCCTCCATGCGATTGTCCATAAAAAAGGGCCATAAGAACGATTTCTTCGGAGCACGGCGTGATGTTGTGACATAATCACATCACAGTGTATCTAGCGGGATACAAAATATTTGGGCCAACTGTAGATCCCTGAAAATAAAGTTTCCCGCTGCTGGACAGTGTATCCCGTAGGTACAAAAGCCAAGCAGCCAACCGAAACCAAAACCAATTCCCTGGTTAGCATATCTCGTTCGCCAGGGGGATCTGAAAGAGCACAAGTGCCATCATGGCCGACCTGAACGCTGGCGGTTGTCAGGTCAGTACGAATTTGTCTCTGAAGGTGCTGTACAAATTTATTTCTTCCCGGTTTATGCATTTTTTGTACAGGCAATGCGGCATAGAACTGATTTGTAGTGTCTTGGACGTGAATAGCCACCCTTGGATGGGTCTGACGTGCAAGCATTTCCCTACGTATTTCGTGGAATACAGCGTCTGTTTGGGGACTCGTCAGTGGCCGTCATACTGGGCGTGCTTTTTAGGGGAAACATTCACTTTTCTTACGCGATTAATAATATTTACGATCCGTTTTCTAACGGAATCAATAACATTTACGTACGTCTTTTGCTTCTGAAGGCTACGACGACTACTGACATGCAGTTCAATGCATCACGGTTCTACGGAAGAAGGCCGAAGGAAAATGTTACTTTGGTTCCTGCAAGTGGGAATTTGTCCGACATCGGGTTCATCAGACGACAGCTTTTCCGACTCTGATAATGACCCAGACTACATCCCACCAGTTGTTGGGAAGACGAGTGTACTCAACACCGTTACTTCAATTCCTGATAACAGCGATTCCTGTAGCGAGGTAACTGATGATGTGAGCGCGCGACTGACGGCCTGCTCAAGGGCGAAGAAGGGAAAGCCATCACTCTTTCCAATGAAAGGAAGAGCACCTCGACAACTTGACCAAGATTCCAGACGACTTCGAGGAACCAGATGCGTTGGCATTCCCCCTTACATACCTCAAAAACTTTTGATCATGACCTCATCAGAATAATCACATCTGAAACAAATCTCTACTTTGTACGGCAACTAGGAGCTCCTATTGGTACAACTCATGAAGAGCTTGAGCAGTTTCTCGGCGTCCTACTTCTCACGGGTGTAGTAACCATGCCTGCATTTTCAGACTATTGGAGTGAGGAGTTTCGCTATCCCATGATAGCGGACACCATGCCCCTCAACAGATTCGAGAAACTCAGGCGCTTGATTCATTTCGTGTCAGAAGAAGATGCATCCGACAAATACGCCACAATCCGACCAGTGCTGAACAGAATACAAAAGAACTGCTCCAGCATTCAGCAAGAGCATCAGCAGTCAATCGATAAAACGATGAAACCCTACAAAGGAACCCGCGCTGGTAAGCTGCGCCAATACATGAGAATTAAACCCCACAAGTAGGGTTTTAAGCTTTTCGTCCGTGCTGGCGTTTCAGGGATGGTAAATGACATTTTGCAATATGCTGGGTAGGATACATTTTTGCCACCACATTCACGGAAGAAGAGGAGGACCTCGGACTAGGAGCAAAAGTTGTTATTGCTTTATGTAAAACCCCAGAGCAACCAGAACAAAGAGTGGTCTACTTTGACAACTTCTTTTGTAGCCTGGAGCTGCTGAGGTAAATGAAGCAAAAAAAAAAAAAAAAGAGATACGAGCCCTTGGGATCATTCGACCTCAGAGGCTGCGGAACTGCACTCCAAAGGACGACAAGACCATAAAAAATGAAGGGTGAGGATCATATGACTTTCGGTCAGACAGGGACAGTGGGATCACTGCTGTGAAATGGTTGGATATGAAGCCTGAACATATTGCGTCCACATCGACAGCTCGAGAGCCTCTTGGAAATGTGAAGAGGTATGTGAAGGACGAAACGAAGATGGCTGCTCCAGCGCCCCGAGTGATTCTGGAGTATAACTCACACATGGACGGCGTAGACCTTGCCGATATGCTGGTGGAGTTGTACCGAACACCTCTAAAGTCGAGACGCTATTACCTAAAACAGTTAGGCCAGCTACTTGACATTTGCGTCAACAATGCATGGTTGCTTTCCCGGCGGGATGCCCAGTTGCATGGAGCGTCGCAGACAATGCCCCTGAAGGGCTTCAGGGCAATAGTGGCGAAGGCGCTTCTCTCTGAAAATAAAAAGAAGAGGGGTCGGCCATCATCAGACGGCCAGCCATCAAAACGAAGCCGTCGACCAAAAGTGCCAAGGCCGCAAAACGGCATCCGCTTTGACGGAGTCTTGAAGAAGGAAGTTTACGGGAGCGTTTATCAAACGTAAAAGCCAGGTTGGGTGTTTTCAAGTGAAACTTCGGGTTGAGGCAGATTTGAGCAAGTCGAAGTTCGGCTTCAGATGAAATAACATCTGCGAATTCGGGGGTAAGGCTGAAGATACTTGCGCAGCAACCGTGTTAAATGGTATTTTGTATATTATCAGAAACATACTTCACAGTGAAAAAAAAAAAAAAAAAACATTACATAGCAGCTTAAAAAACAACCTCGACGCTTACGAAAAAAAGAGTTCGGCCTGAATAACAAAAGTATCGATTAATAAAAAGTCGATTTTAATATAAACAATATAGCAAAGGCACTGTCAGGCACCATGCGTTTAACTCTGCCCCATCAGCTGATACTATCCCCACCACAAATAAAAAAGGGAGCGCTACTTCCCTCTAACATTGTTTCAGACATCATATGTGTACAAAGAATATTTAGATATCATCTCCCTTCTAGCTTTAAGCTATAAAAAATGTTAACTTGTTCTGTGCAGGCCATAGAACATCCCGCATAAGTTTAAGTCCAATTTAAAATATTCAAACTGGCACGATTGTCGTGCGCCCCAATGAATCTATCCACAAAAAGATGGCGAGAGTAATTTTACTAGTGGGATAGCTTCACGCTTTCGGTATATTGCTACAATTACATTAAAACCCCCGGCGAGAACGCCGGCAAACACTGACACAGCGGTAAACTGAAGGCTTTTAACGAAACTACTCCCAGCGCGAATAAACGCCGCTGTTCTGATAGAGAAGACATACACGTAGGATTTTGGTGCAATTTACCAGTGCGCTACTTTGATGCAAAGACTAACCTCAAGAACAATCCTCGGAAAGTCAATGTGATAAACAAAACTCCGTTACTGCAGAGTTACGAAAGTTATAATAGTGACCCTGGTTTACTTATATGACCCACGGACTGCCAGAAATGTTGTCATTATTACAAGCAACAATGTTCCTGCTTCTTCTCTTGGAGGAACCGGGCTTCTCGGGCAGTTGGAAGTCTGAAGACAGTGTCATGAAGACCATCAAAGACATACCCAAGGATTTCCTTCTCGCATTTGAGTCGGGCAACGGCTTCATGGACCTCTTTGTTCCTATAGAGTGCCTCAAGGAAAATACTGCGATGTTCAAGGCTTTTCTTCACTCCCGCGCGAAACCGGTCACATTGTGGAGTGACGCCAGGATGCACATCAGTCAATGCAGATACAATATCTGCTACAGATTAAGGATGTCATTTTTTCAAATGGTTTACTTTAAGTGCGGCAAACATGATATTCGTCGAAGTCTTCATAACTTCCCGACAGATTACTTCATGTCTACTTTCGTCGTCGATGAATCCGTAAAACATCCCTGGGAAGCTCTTCGGAATGTCCTTAGAGTACCATTTCTACCACCGTACCCCTAGAGCAAGTGGAAGATATGTAATGAGCTTCGAGAACGGCAGTCTCTTTTTGACTAGCGAGTTTGAAAGAAAACTAATCGAACACCAGGCGCTTACGAGTGGTTTATTGTTAGAACGGCAAAGGACGCTAACTGGGAGCTTCATACACCTGGTATGTGCAAGCATTTACGCCTGCCAGCACCCACGCTTCAACGTCACATTAAAGCTGTTGACGCACCGTAACGCTTCGGTTAGAGTTGACCGTGACTATTACACTGATGAGCAGTGGTCCAGCTCATATATAAATAGTTTAAACAATCGGGCAGACAGGGACACGGACGACCTATTTCACGCACTTCATCATCACGTATCGGTCGGTTTTTCATTTTATGTTTGCAAGCGGGATCGGGTTTCCAAGGAGAAAATCTTTATCTTGCCATTTTTAAACGAGGTATGGTTGGGACTTATCGCGTCTTGTTTGTTACTCGTCTTGACGTATGGCCTTATCGCGAAGGTTATGCTGAAGGCTAATGTTGATACTCTAGTCTTCGTAATCCCCATGGTGGCGGCCTTCTTTCAGCAGAGCACTCGGCTCCACAGATGCCTGTTGAACACGTTTCCTTCCCGAATGTTGTACGGCACAATGGCATTAATGTTTGTCGTGATGTCGACAGCATTCAAAGGTCGTCTCACTTCACTTCTGAACGACCTTCCGCTCGATGGAAAACCTACTCAGTTCGTGTCATTTGAGCAACTTGCCCGAACAGGGCAACGTCTTTGCTTCCTTGAAGATCCGGGCATCCTAGGTGCATATGGGTCACTTTTGATCTTCAAGAGGAATGGCCCAATAAAGCACGGACCTAAATGCTACCAAAGTTTGAGCTTGAATTTACGTATTCCTCGCTCGATTAAAATTTCCGCAGACGGAAGGGATACGTTTTTTACCTACAACTCGCGAACAGGTCCCAGCGAGTCTTTGAGGCGAGAGCTTCTCGGAAGAGGGTACGCTGAGACAGAAGGCATCGCGTTCTCGTACCCCGCAGGACCAGAAATGAGGCCATCATCGGTCTACCGAAAGGATTTGACTGCAACATTGAGTCGGGCGATTGAGGCGGGCCTATACGAAAGGTATGCTGCCCTTGCCGAGTACAAGAGCAGATTCTTTCTCCAGAGTAGTCTCGATCATAGCCAAAAGCTGGTTCTAACCTTGGGTGATATGAGACCGTTTGTTCTTGCTTGGTTCGTTGGTATGTTCTTCTCACTTCTAGTGTTTGTTGGTGAGGTAATTCTATCGCGTGCCAGAAGCCTAAATTCCTCGGATGACGTGAGGATTATTCCCCAACAACGTTCAAAATATTTGACACGATTCATGCGCCTTAAGAACAAAGATCGTCATCGCGTTCATAAAGGAAACTAAAGGAAAATGTCAAAAATATGAGAGATGAAAATTATTTTTTGAACATATTATAAAAATTCAAAAAGCTCTTAAGCATTTTAAAATGAGTAGTGGATATGTTCTTTTTTTTTAGAACTTTAAAGTTTACATATATATTTATACTTTAATAGTGTACCTATAGGTGATGTGTATTTACGTCATAGTTCCAAAATAAGTTCACAATTCTTATCATTTATCTTAGATGTTCGCAATATATCGCGGAACATGAATTATCAGCCTATAAAAGACCTGAACCTCGATTCGCTCGGCACAAGTATTTACCGATCCTGGGACGGACACTATTTGAAGACAAAATTCCTGTCTCTAATTCTATCCAAAACTTGTATTGAATTAGCATAAGGTGTCAAGCTTCCCTTTTTTTTAAAGCTCAAATTTTTAGGTACTCACATCAATCCACCCTTTTTTCCTCTTCATTTTAAATTAAAACCGGATGTTCAATTACTGTGTACCATCAACGTTATATTGTTTACCAGTCAAAGTTGATGTTCAATTAGATTACACTGCGGACTGAGACACTGACTGCGAAACCGATATATTATAAAATGAAAACAAAAGGAAGATAACTTATTGTAGAACTTATTTGACAAAGTTTGAAAACGTGCTTAGCAGCACAATAAAAAAAGTTTAAATCGTAACAAGCTCTGAGGTTTAATCGGTTTCTATACTTCATAAAAAACAACTGTTACTTATACCTCGAGTGTCACCCCTAATTTGTGTTTTCGAAGAGGAATTGTTCTTGCTTCCGTATGCTACTTTTTTTGGTCGAGCTCTTGTGGATGAAGTTAACAAAGTGTTCCTCAATAAAATTGAAAGCCTATTAGCATTGAAAAAATGTAATCAAGATATGAGCGTTAAACACATCTGGAAAGAGGTACATGTTTTCTTCGCTGGATGTTTTCGTGCACAACTTTTTCACACTTAGTTCCGAGCCGTTTTTTATATTCAAGTTGGAAAGCTCCGGATGGTTAGAATCCTAGTGTCAGAAAAGTGTTTTCACAGCCTGTCACTTGCCGCCAGGTGAAATACTGAGAATTTGTGCAACACTAGCACCTATGTACTATATACGCAAAAACTTCGTTTGGGTGATTTTGTGAAACACGCGTGTTAACTATAGAGCTCATAAATGCCGACATTTCATCAACACTCTGACTTAGAGTGCATTCAGTGTTTGTTCGTGCACTTTGCGTACATATTTCACGTTTCCCACTGAACCTTTTTTTATGAATGCAGTGAAGTATCTGTCCTCGCCCTAAAAAATTGGTACCGGAACTTGAGTGAATTTATTATCATATAACTGTATACAAAAAATATATGTGAATAAATATCGTGTTTCTCTGTTTGGCGTGTTTATGGTTTTTCTTCATGCTTTTATTTAGTCGAATAACGTTGTGATATCGTTCGCACTAGCTAGCTCTTCTAATTTGCGCTTATAAGAGGAATATTCATTACCAGCTCATGCCATGCTTGCGGAACCGGTCTAGTCAGCATGCAGCTTGAGCGCGAGGGACGGCTGCAGACGCCTCTGTCAACGTAGCGGCTGGATCACCACGAAAGAATGAGTAGAGTGTAAGTGATGGCTCACAGCGGAAAATAAGGTAGAAGTGTGAGTATCCGGTGGTGTCACGACCATGCGAATCCTAGGCGAACGTAATGTGGGCAGAGATGCGCCCCATTCTCGATTATTGGTTGGGACATACATGAAAGCATGTCAGTGAGCGTCAGCATATGAACTGTCATATAAACATTTCTTAAATCCCCCCAGGATGAACGGTTGTCCACGGTCAGTGAAAGGTTTACGGGTGCGCCATGTCTTAGAATAACTTGCTAGAAAGGGTAACTGGATGACTTCGTGGGCTGTCAAAGAAGAGTTTGTTTCAGCGTAGCAAGCTGCGCCGACAACGGCGACGAGAATTCAGCAGTTCCCTCAAGATAAGTATAGAAACGAGCCTGGTAGATTTAGTTCAACACGGTCAAATTTGTTTTTTGGAGGACGTAAAGAATGAAATAGTCCGGCGGGTAGTATGGAGATTTTTGTTTCTCGGTTGACAAATGTCATATCACTGGATGTATTTTTTTACCGTCGGATACAAGCCAGGCCAGTAAACTGTCAGCTCCTATCGTGTGTTTGTGCGCAGAGTCCTCATATGTCCAGATGAAGGGGCGTC